CCCCCTTCCCCCTTTCCCCCACCATCTCAACTGATCCCCGCTGAGGGGAGGGAGGGTTGTACTGTATTTAGACTGGTGTGGCGCTGCGATGTAAAACAGTCAATGTCAGGGGAAGAATTTCTAGACTCAGCCTTCAAAACGATATCAGAATGATATCAATATCAAACAATTGCAGATTTTCGTGTCGAATGGATCCTGAATTATGGCCCTAAAATTGGCTCATGTCTGGTATTTGATATCGTTTTGATACAGCATCAATTTGATTTCTCCCTGAATACAGGTGGTCTCAGACAGTTGATTGGCTCCAACAAACGGCTAAGTACTGAAAGGAAAGAGTCTGTTACGGTTCCAACTCGTTTAATTATTTCCTCTACCCCTGCGTTTCTCGACAGCGGCGATACAGAGCAGAGGCAGAGCAGATTTGAGGGGGAAGACCGGGGCCGCGGGGATGCGTAACGTGGGGACTAGAAGAAGAAGAATGAGAGGGAGAGAGAGAAAGAAAGAGATGGGGCACGGGGTAGACAGAGAGAGAGAGAGGGGGGGGGGTGAGGAGGAGGAGTTGCTGCTGCTGTCAGTGGTGGTGTCAGTGCCCCGTGGTGAGGGGCTCAGTGAGCGGAGCGGGCGCGAGCGGGAGCCCCCCAGGCACGGCCGCCAGCCCCTCTCCTCCCCTCTCCCGCCCGGCAGGCAGGCAGCCCATACTGGCAGCTGGCGGGCACGGCGTGCAGGCAGGCAGCCCCAGCAGGCAGCCGTCCCCGCGAGTCCCAGGGACTCCTCCGTGTGCAGTGCCATGGCAGTAGCAGCGCCGTGCAGCAGTGCAGTGCTGCAGTGACAGCTGAGGCCGGCTGAGCACAGGGTGCACCGCACCCACCGCACCGCGCAAGTCCATACGCGCGCCCCGCGCGGCCACACCGAGTGCGCCTCCGCGCCGTCAGACCGGCGGCCGCAGTGGACGCGAAGCACGCGAAGCACGCGAAGTGAAGTGAAGCACAGACAGTGAAGTGACGCCGTGCGCCGGCTGCGCTGGTCCCCGCCGCTGCAGTGGGGTCCTAATCTTATCTCGCCCAGCCCCGGCCCACCCCGGCCCCGAGCGTGGCCCCCAGCGGGGCAGGTCAGGGGCAGTGAAGGGTGACGACCACCCCGGCCAACGTGCTCGTCGCGCTCCAGGATGAGAGCCTCCAGAGGGTCGGCGCTGCCGCGACTGCTCGACGGGGAGGTGCAACAGCTGGTGTCCGCCCCCGCACCTGAGTGGGTTCAGCCGCTGTGACAGCGACCCCCCTCCGCCTCCCCCCTCCGTCGCGACGGTCCCGGAGGAGGAGATTCTGTGTTGTGTGTTGATCTTGTGGCGAGCTGCTGTCGCACCCCGAGGGAGTCCCCCGCTGCGACTGATTTATGTAAAACGGCTGTGCTCCGCTCGCCCCGCGCCGCAGGGTACCGCAGGGACTGTCTCCCGATCCGAAGTGTCGCCCCCCAAACGTGTGACTCCCAAGTGCGTCAACGGTGGCAGTGCGTCGCAGTGCGTCGCAGTGACTCGCAAATCAGCAACAGCGACTCGGCGCCGCTCCGCGCCATGTGGTGGGTCCGCGGCTACTGGGCGTGCGCCTGGGCGCTGCTGCTCGGGGTGCTCGACGCGGTGCACGTCGCGGGGGCGGCGGCGGCGGCGGCCACCGGGCCGGCGCAGCAGGGCTCGTCGCTGCCCATCCCGCTGCAGACGAGGACCATGTTCACCGACTGGGGCCTCGGGACGGGCGGCGGCGGCGGCGCCGGCGGCCGCGCGCCCGTGTGCGTCGACATCCCGTCCAACCTGAGCCTCTGCTACGGCGTGGGCTACAAGCAGATGCGCCTGCCCAACCTCCTGGAGCACGACACGATGGTCGAGGTCGGGCAGCAGGCGGCCTCCTGGGTGCCGCTCGTCAACATCAAGTGCCACGGGGACGCGCAGCTCTTCCTCTGCTCCCTCTTCAGCCCCGTCTGCCTGGAGCGCTCCATGTCGCCCATCTACCCGTGCCGGTCGCTGTGCGAGGCGGTGCGCCGCGGCTGCGAGGGCCGCATGCGCGTCTACGGCTACCCTTGGCCCGACATGTTCCGCTGCGACAAGTTCCCCCTGGACAACGACATGTGCATCGCCTCGCAGACGGACCAGGGCCGCGGCCCGGCGCCCCCGCAGCCCGCGGGCGAGCAGGTCCGCCAGCTCGACAGCGAGCCCGTCGTGGTGGTCGTGGAAGACGGTGAGTGTCCCACGACTCAGTCAAGTCAAGCACAATTTTCTTTGCCATTCTACGTCTTATTCGGCTTGATAAATCACTTCTCCCCCTACCCCCCCAACCCCCCTCTGACCAGCAATGACTCAACGGGTGGTAAGTCTCCCGGTCTCCCGCATCTCTCAGCCTCGGCCAAGCTGGCCGGGCTGGCCGGGTCCCTATACACCCCCCCCCCCCTCAATCCTGCGCGGGTGAGGGGAGGCAAGTTGGGGGAAGGGTCCGGCTAGCGAGAAAGTAAGCGACGAGCGTCATGAGAGTGTAGACTGGACTTCAATTGAGAGTCTCGCTCGCGCCTGCCAGTAATGGCTCTCTGATAGGGAAATGTCACTCAACGCACGCCCCCTTCCCCCTCATCCCCGCCTCTCCTTTCTCTCTCTCTCTCTCTCTCGCTCGCTCTCTGGCCCCTCCATACAAACGACCGCAACTACTCGCGACGGGCCTCACAACAAGGATCCGTCCAGGGAAAATGGACAAAAAAGCGTCGCGCCAAAACGAATACGAAGGGTACTGTATTAAGAATATTATTTTTAGTCGGGGTGATAAGCTGCGCATCGGGCTGACAGTGTTGCGGATGTAGCGCGCCGCACAAGAAACCCACCACAGACCAGTTTAGATCCTCCGAATATTAAAATGGGCGTTGTTAATCTATCGTCAACAAGTGCATGATCTGCTAGTCAACACTTGTAAGAGGGGTTGTACAACCAGATATATCGGAGGGTATTTTCATTTTTATTTTTCATCCGTGACAGTGTGAGGTCCTTATTATTGCCAGGAATCTGCCAAACTAAAGAAGATTACCGCTCTTACATAAGTCGCTGACGTGTTGTTCATACGAGGCGTTTCCCACGAACTGGACCGGGGCAGGCTGACCCCAGACAGGGTGTCGTCAACGATCACGTCGACCAGGACCGCATCCAAAACGCCCTCTCTCTGTGGGAGATTGAGGAGGAAGCACGCAGTGGATGAGAAAGAGACAGAGAGAAAGACTGAGAGACGCCTCAGTCAGGTTACACGCTTAGCTCGGCCCTGTCGCCAATCATTGTAAATGGGGATTACTCGAACCCTCGCATTGTCCCGCCCGGGGCGTGAAGAAGCGATCCTCTTCAATTGGATGAGCGAGGGAGACAAGGATGAGTAGGGATGCGTGGGGGAGGGAGTCAGCAGCCCGCCGGCCGGGGCCGGGCAAGTGTGACAGCTGGGAGACACACAGTAGCTTTTGCCTCAGCTTTTGGCTTTGCCGTGGGTGATGGAAGGCAAACACCATAGGGGCGTGGGGGTTTCTGATAGAAGTTTGCTAGAGGGAAGTGTGGAGGGATTCGACGTTTTACGGTTTGATGAACTTTGTTTGTACGGGGTGTCTGGTCTCTGATTCACCCCGCATACTTCTGTATACTCGTTATGCTGTACCGCACGCAGGCGTGCAGGCGGGCTTGCCTATCGCCCCTTACCATGGCGCCTTAAAGTTTGAGCGAGTGGGCAACCCGCCCGCACGTAGAAGTGCGCTACTGTATTAACAAACCACCCCGAACACTGTTCGGAAACATCCAGTACCTAGCTTTGAACAAAAATAAGCGCATGGACGTTTAGTACGTACACAGCAAAACATGGACAACGAATAATTAATGACATCGCTCCACTGTTTCAGCAAATGACGAGTGCCGTCCCTGCAACCAAGTGGAGACGTACGAGAATGTTCTGGACCATCTCTGCCGGTCCGACTTCGGTGAGACACATGAGAGACCTATTATCAGTTCCCATTTTAAGTAGGCGTTAGATATTGACGACGAGCCGCTTCGCTTTCCGCAGCCGCTCGCGCCCGCCGGCCCCGCCGGCCCCAGCAGTCGGCGCGGGGGAAGGCCAGTGAGCCCCGGGACCTCAGGACGACCCGCGTGCTCAAGGCGTCCTCCCCGTCCGCCAGGAAGCTGGTGCGCGCCTCGCTGCCCGCGCTGCCCGCCGGCTGCCCGGACTGCGACCAGGGCGAGGCCGAGTCCTTCCTCGTCATGGGCAACTTGGGCCCCGGAAACGCGCTGGACATCACCTTCGTCCTACCCTGGACCACCAAGTCTAAGGTAAGTCCCCCACTCTCGACACCACATTTGTACGTGCACTCGAAAGCACCCTGTTTCTCGACTCGGCAATTCAATTTGCCCTATTATTTATTTCCTGTGATTCTAGTCCATCAAAAAGGCGGTGAGGACCTTCACCAACACAAACTGCACCAATCCCAACCTGGTGTCGCGCACTGTCATTGTGGACTCCTTCACGCCAGTCGACGGGTCCCCCATCGATCCTGTGGAATCGCACGTCGTGCACCCCGTTGTCTTCAGCCCCGCTGCTCCGCCCCCGAGCACCAGCACAACGACAAGCACCACCACTACAACAACCACGACCACGCCCAGGCCAACGACGCCCACGACCACGACGGCGGCCACGACTCTGCGGCCCACCAGAAGACAGCACGGCTATGGGAGCAGGCAGCGCAGCAGCAGCCACAGCCACCAACAGCGCATGCCACACACGCTGGCGCCCTCAACGACCAGCATGGGCGCCAGCAGCACCTTATTCTCCGTGCCTCCTGCAACCGTGGCGAGGCGCACGACAACGCCAGCTCCGAGTACAAGTACGACGACACCAACAACCCCACGTCCTACTACAACCACCCCTACCCCTACGACGACTACTACCTCACGACCTACTACAACCACCCCTACCACCACGACAACTTTTACCCCACCTCCTACTACAACCACCACCACCACGACAACCACCCCACGTCCTACAACAACTACCTCAACCACCACGACAACAACCACCCCACGTCCTACTACGACCACCACCACCACGACAACTACCCCACGTCCTACTACGACCACCACTACAACTACCCTACGTCCCACTACGACCACCACCTCGACAACTACCCCACGTCCCACTACGACCACCACCACGACAACTACTCCCCGTCCTACTACAACCATCCCACCCCCACTGCCTACGACATCAACTACTCCACGTCCTACTACAACCACCACAACCACCACGAAAACAAGCACCCAACGTCCAACTACAACCACGACCACAACAACAACTACCCCACGTCCTACTCCAACCACCCCCGACCCCACCACCCCACGTCCTAGCACAACAACCACATATACACCGCCTCCTCCCACGACAACAACAACGACGACGACTACGGCAACTTGGCTTCGGACCATTCAAACTACGTCTTTTTCACCCAGCACCACTATGAGCAGCACGCGACATCTCTGGGTTGCTCGCACACCAGTGTTGAGGACCACTACGTCACCGTCTTGGAGGTTCCGGACACCTCGGCCCAAGTCCACGCCGGCGCCGGCCACCCCTGACCCGTGGGGGGACTCGGAGGACTCTGAGGAGACGGGCACGCCTTTCGGCAATCCGTTCGGTGGCTCCCGCCGGGGCTCAGCGGAAGGTGCTGGAGGCGGCCGCAGAGGCTCTGCAGAGGGCGGCGCCCGGAGAGGCCCTGCTGACGGTTCTAGGAGGGGCTCCTCAGGCAGAGTCCCCTTCGGGGGCAGTGAAGACTCTGACAGGGGGTCATTCGGCGACCCCATAGAAGGACGGCCCTTTGGGCGACCCGCCGGCGGGCAAGGCGGCCAGGGAGGCTCGGGAGGCGGCGGCGGCCGGAGGCAGCAGGGTGGAGCGCGGGGCAGGCACAAGCAAAGGCGGCCGAACAAGGGGCGCCGGAGGAAAAACCAGCAGCGGGGCAGGGCCGAGGGCCGAGCCGAGGGCAGGGCCGACGGTAGGGCCAGGGACGAGGAAGAGGGGGAGGGGGAGATACCCCTGCCTCGCAGTATGTCTGGTTTCTGAGAAAAATGTACTAATCGAACCTTGTCATGCACTTTAGCGTTAGCCTACCGTGATTTCCAAAGAGAGTGTACTCCGTGACGGGAGCTCGGAAATGTTGATGGTGGAGGTGGAGCAGAGCCCAGCCAGTGGTATGAATTGTACTAATCATACAGCACACAGGAAATGGGGCAAGACTGAGAACTATTATGCTTGTGTGTACGCGGGCGCAGCTGTCCCCGCGCGGTGTTTTATGTGGTATGTGTGTAAGTGTGTGAGTTTTATTTGTGTGAAAGGTGTTTTCTTGATTAGACTAGTTTACTATAAAAATGAATGAATGTATATCTATCTAAGGGTACTTATCTTCACAGTGCCAATAGTCTTTCCCTGTACAGACACTAATTGTACCGTACGTAAATTGTGTAAGAAAACGCATTATTATTATTATTATTATTATTATTATTATTATTATTATTATTATTATTATTATTATTATTTCTTCATCAGTCGTACTATTAGGTAAGAAGTACTTTTCAAGTACAAATACGTTATCGTGATACTCTCCCTAACCATACTTGTAAATACCATGATTTCATTCGTGACCCAAAAGATAAGTTTTCTAACAATTATACATCATTGTGACCTCCTTATGACCTACGAGGTCACGAGTTTTGCAAATGTGAGGTCACTGGTGATGTGATTTAAATACGTCACGGCGATGCCATCGGGATCCCCTTGACTATTTCGTTACGAAAACGTTTTCCTAGGGGAGTCATTCGTTTATGTGATCCCGTTATTCCAAATACGGTCTATAGTCCTACCTACAAATTTCCCTGCTCGTCGTCATGTTTGCAATGTTGCAAAATCTACAATGTGATAGTTAAATTATGTTTGTATCGATTTTTAATAAAAGTATCCTTTATTAGAAGAGATTACATTCCTCCCTCGAGTTCCTCCATCCTCGTACCGCCTGTCGGGTAGGCAGCCCATGAGACTTCCGCGCCGCGCCGGTTGCGTGCCTTGAGGGCGCTCGAGCGGGCAGTCAGCCCCTCACCATACGTTTGCTGCCATAAGGAAAACAACATTAGAGTCCGACAGCTGGTGAATCAGATTTGCGGCAACTTGCCACTTGCGCCGATCACCTACCTTTGTAGTACGTGGTTTTTTTCATTGAGACGCACTGATTCCCTGTGGCCTGATTACCGGTGTAGGCAAATGAAAGAAACAAAAACGGACTGATGAGTGATCCTTATCAATATGTGCTTCCTACACAGGCTCAGTCATGCTGCTGCACCGCTTGCACGAAGGCGCTGCTAGCGACTGGAGGAAAACTCTGCAACCCTGCATACAGCACAGTACTGAAGAGTGAAGAATAAGACAGGACCGGCAGCATTTTCCATTTAAGACAAGGAAGTGTGTGCTAAAAACGAAATAGGCGAATGAGTGAGCGAATACTCCATGGACACGCCGCATACAGATGCGCCTATCGCGGCTAACCAGTCCACGGCGCCTTATGGACCCAAGCGAGTAGGCAACCTGCCTGCAGGCGGTACAGATCCGTGATGACATGCTCGACCGGGACTCACCGCGTCCTTCCTGAAGTCGATGTTGGTTCTGAGCGGCCGGTTGTGGAGAGACTGCGGGCCGCGAAAGTTGTTCCCGAGGGGCGCCTTAGGGGTGGCGATGGTACCCTGCATGAGGCGGCGCAGCGCCAGTAGCTGCACCCACAAAAATAGTGTACTCACTCTCACTCACAGTACGCCCCTCACACCGCTGTCATGTCTTCGGCGACTTCTGCGATCGCGGGAACAGCCGCTTCCAACCACACGTGGTCATCAGAACAACTACGCCGTCGGAGCCCGACGAAGAGGAGTTGGTGAAACGACAGTTTTAATTTCCACTCGAAAGTTGTTGCTCAAAGAAAATTTTCAATTTTACGGAGATGTGTTCCAACGAGAAAACTTTTTGTCGCGGAAGCTTGATTATTTCCGCTTCCCGAATTTCCAGAAACTCAGTCCATCCCCTGTACAACTGCCACAACGGCTTCTAGATTCTCTGAATAACGTCAGAGGTCACTCACTCACTCACTCACTCACTCACTCACTCACTCACTCACTCACTCACTCACTCACTCACTCACTCACTCACTCACTCACTTTCCTGACGGCCTGACGGACGGGCCGCCGTCTTCACACAGCTGCTCAGCGGGTTGGCCTACCCAGAGCGTAGCAGGCGCTAGCACTGGCTCGAGAGACGTTCATTAGGGGGCACTCCCACTCGCTCACCTGTTGCTTGGTGATGTAGATGGGTTTGTTGAACACGATCCACGTGACGGTCTCATGACATCCGGGCATCGTGGTGGAGCCGTCGTAAGTCATGTAGGCGGACGTGTTGGGGAGCAGGCCGTGGATTGAAATTCGCGTTACTGGCACCGAGTCTCCTGGTAGTTTACATCAGATTTTTAAGCACAGCATCGGAATATCTTGTCGATTGTTGTGACTGATCGAAGTTTCTGACCTACCGCGGTACTGCACCCGTTCCAGCTGGTCCGTCAGCAAGCGCAGCTCCGGGTTTGACAAGTCCCCCACCTGTGATGTGAGTGAACGAGTTGACAACCAAATGGACAGCACTCTGCAAAGGTTTCATTATCTCCTCGACGGCTCCGTAAGCACTCGCCTGAAGCAGTATGGAGAGCGCCACCAGCCCCTGCGCCTTCTGAGTCGCATCCGAGAAGTTCACGTAAAGCTCCGAGTTGAACCCGAAAATTTGAATCTGTGAGGTAAATAACAGAACGAGTTTGAGACATTTTCGTGGTCCTTCAACTTCAATGAGGGTTAAGACGTCAGTTCACATGGCTGCTGCATGTGAGACAGTGAAACGCCCTGCCGTGCATCATCTCTAGGGATTTTAAAATCCGAAATTTACTTTCCCAGAAAACATAGGAAAAAATAAAATTTTCCAGAAAAGTGCGAAAAAATAAAATAAGACTTGAAAAACAAAATACACTTTTAAAAAAAGTTCTTTACAAATTTCCAAAAATCCTTTTTTGGAAAATAAAATCCCCAATCAAATAGGCAATCCGACACAGTCCTCGTGGGAGGGAGGGCCCAGGCTCACCTCGGCGGGGAACGACCTGCCGTTGACGAGGTGCTCCGAGCCCAGCGAGTCCACCAGGCCGTAGCGGACGTGCAGCTCGTGCAGCTGGTACTTGTAGGCCAGCGGCCCGCCCGACACGTTGAGCGCGCGTCGAGTCGAGTTGTCCAGGGCTAGCACGGCGCCGTGCCCCGTGTTGGTGAGCAGCCCGTTTACCTGGAGCACCGGCAGGCGTTGGAGGGGAGCATTTCGTTTGCACCTGACCTGATTGTGTTTTTACTCGCCACCCGCACTCTCCTTACCCTGTGCGCGTTGACTCGAATGTTCCGCAGGTTGGGGTCGAACAGCAGCCTGTCCGGCTCCAGGTCCACGGGCGACTGGCGGTGGCCCTTGTTGCACAGGCTCCACTCGGGGTTGATGAGCCCCCAGAAGGCCGGGCCTGCAGGAGCGGGGCGGAGCAAAGAGAGGGGATGCGTTCAAATCTCCGGGACGTGCTTTGCATGCTTTGCATCTGCCAGCAGGGGCCCGGGCCGGGCCCTCTGAGTGATGTGCACGCGGATGCAGCCGACTCACCGGATATGCCGTCGTACGTCCACCACTCCTCCCAAATGACCCCCGAAAAACCTGCGGGCCGACGGGGATCTCACTTTAAAGCGGCGATGCTGCCTCCGCGCGAGCACGGTCTCTTTACTCTCGCTCCAGACCGCGGAGCCAATCATCCCCCCCCCCTCCCCACTCACCACCTCACCTCCTACCCCAGGATTCGTGCCTGCAGGGGGCGCATGTAACAAGTAACACGCTAACATCAATATTCGAAATTGTGGTGTTGTTTTGATTATAATTTGAGAATAATGAAGAAAACAGTACAAAACGTTCCAGACTTTTGAGGATAGCCCCCCCCCCCAAAAAAAAAGGCCTTCCCGGGGGCCTTATTCTTCTCATTATATCAGGTGTTCCGAATGTCCCTAAATCTAAATGATCCAGTTTTGTGTGGCGCATATTTTCTCTGCAGAGAAAGGCTTGACCCGAAGTCTTTCCGATCCGTTCAACATTGTAGGACTGTCCATGATGACGCAAGGCATCCCAACAAACAGGAAAATGTCACGAATGTGTCAAACGGGTCACAGTGATGTCAAAATGGCACGTTCTTATCATAATTTTTCACCCAATAATTTTGTTATGAGGAGGTTAATATATGACATCCTTTTGTTGGGATGGACCATGTCGCAACAAACCGAGTAAATATCGAGCCCATTCTCATTACCAATGTAAAACCTATAGTAAACTTATATTTCAGTGAATTACCTCCGACTTGAAGTAGCAGTAGAAGAGTGCAGAATGCCGTTCTAACACCCCAATACGTTAAGGGCGCGCTCCGGACGACTTCAGCAGCGGCCATCGTCGTGACTACCTGCACATTTATGATCACGTTTGATTATCTACAGCTTGCTTAACTACAATCAACCCTTAAACAAGAGTCCACCACAGGCGTTCCGGAGTCGTAGTTTGACCACTTTGACGGCGTGACCATGTGAAGCCGATTTTTATTTTCGAAAACAAAGAGTGGTGGGCTTAACCGCGCCGAGACAAAAAGGGTTTATTTAGGGGTTCTATAGTGTATTTCGACTAGCGGGTAGAACATAAAGGTTCCTGATTGGCCGAGCGCTTACTCCCACTACCGGCGTGACGTAGAGGCGGGAAGCTCTTGACCAATCGGTCACGTTTATGTTCTACCCGCTATTCTTCTTCCGTCGAAATACATTATTAATGCAGCCATTGTGAATTGTAAAATCTGCTTTATATATTTTATTCATAATCACTGGTTTTTAGGAGCAGTCTTTTATTATTTCTGTTAGAAACGTGCTATACACTCCCCATATACAACGTAGTATACAAGACAGCATCAACTTTTAGCAATTATGAAAAATGTCATTTGGACTACATGAACTACAAGTTTTTACTTATACAGGTGGTCCACAGACCCCATCCTACATTTTGCTTGCAGTGTACCGGATGCAGGCGTGCGACCGTGGGTTGCATACCGGCACGGGGCCATAATAAAGGAAGGGGTCTGTGGACCACCCGGTAATATTGCAAAGAAGCCTTCTTGAGCCATTACAGTCAAAATGGACGTCGTACTTAAAATTAGCCGTGATTTTTGTTAACGTTTTCAACAGAGGATAGTGGTTTTATAGTGTAGAGATGCGAACCGTGTGCCAAAGTGGCCCTAGTATTATTTCTACATACATGACTTACTTTTCTGAACACAAGTACTTCCAGACCCCAGCGCCGATGCTTACCTCGATGTCAGTGATCTTCTTCCTCTGTCCCCACGGTCAGCCAGGCCAGCCTAGGGCCGCGGCGGCGGCGGGCCGTCGAGTCGGGTGGGTCGGGTCGCCCGGCTGGCCGCGGCTGCGACCCCGGCGACCACGGGGGTCAGCATGACGGCGTCCTTCGGGGGTCCTTCCCCGGCCCACACACACGTTCAACTCGAACGGGCTTTTGTTAAAACTCGGAACCTCGACGTCGAGCTGACGTGTGCGTGGACGACGCGCCCTGCTCCAGCATCAGCTGCCCCTAGCCGACATCGCAAGCAGGAGGGGTGCTGGGATATAAGAGAAAACAAAACAATGATGGAGATGTCTCCTCTTGTAAGCTGCGCAGAAAGGCGGGGAGGCGCAGGTGGGGTGTGGGGTACCGCTGCAGGTGCGAGGACGCGGACGGAGGCCCCTGCTCCCGCGGGCTGCGACCGGCGGCGAGCGCGGAGAGCGACGAACTGACTCACCTTCCCGGCCCGCCGAGCCCCGCCGAGCCCCGCAGCTCCTCCTCCAGCCAGACACTCCAGCCTGCTCCAGCCGCGAGGCGCCCCGGCCCCGGCCCCCCCGGTTGGTCCAGTGACTTTTCCTGCGGCGGGGGCGTATCCGCGAACACGAGGGGAGGGGAAAGTTGGGGAGGGGGGGGGGGCAACGCTGGACCGACCCCGTGCGGTTGTGTGCTTGTGAGTATGTGGGGGGCGGAAATACGAACATGTACGGGGAAATGTGCCTTTTCCTGCCTACCACCCACCACCACTCGAGGGGAAATTGCTACGTACTCTTTGAAATTTGTCCCTAATAATCTAACGAAAAAGGGGGGCACTATAGAAGTTCCCAGCCCTGGCGGAGGCAGCCGGGTCGGGTCACCGATTATTGAAGGCTCGCGACGGGAGCCCTGCCAACAAAGTGGCAAATCCCGACGGGCCAGGCGAGGGAATTATGCAAGAAAAGATATGGGCGGAGCGGGGAACCGCTGCCAAGAGTCGTGGTGGTAATTAATACAACAATAAAAAGAGAGCCTCTTTTGTCGCCGCAGGAGGGATAGCACCCCCACCTCCCTTCCCCCCACCTTTTCCCTTTCTTTCACTTCCCCACTTCAACGCTTTGCGGGCAGAACCGATCGAGGGATGGTGGTGGTGGTGGTGGTGGTGGACGCGGATACGAATCTGAGAGCATTATATATCTTAGCCCAAACCTATAAGTGAAATGCACGCGACTGGCTGGATCACTCTCTATCTCTGTGACACACGTGTGTAATTCTGTGTGAAACAATAATCGGATGGGAACTTGCTCGTTGCGCAACGATTAGACAAACAGCAACAGAGAAATGCTTGTTTGAAAAGTTCTGCAGTGTTAACCGGAATCGGTTAGAATAATAGAGACACTGGAGAAAGTTATCTCATACGCGTATAATCTGAGTAAGATCATTGTCATACCCTATTGCATGTGTCCCTTGTCGCATACACACTTGTATATAAATATCCTCTACAATCATTCCCCAAATCCAGCATCCTTGAGCAGCGTGGTGATTGTAACTCAAAACTGTAATGACTCACCAATTAGATCCGTGTTAGTTATCTTCCTGTGACACACTCGCAACAAACACTGTACGCAGCGCCGCGTGTGCCGTGTCCGGCCGTGTCATGCCTTCTCACTGCCCTCCAGGGCCGCGGCCGGGGGCCGGGCCACCCCATTCCGACACGCTCGACACAGATCATGCCAGGCGGCCGGCGGGCGGCGGGGCCCGCGGGTGGTCCCGCAGGGGGGGCCCAAGGGCGGGCCCACCGCGCGGCCGGCCCGTTACTCGACGTACGGGTGAGTCCCCAGCCGCCCCTTGGGCCCAGACTCACCCCTTCCCCTCATATCTCTCTCTCTCTCCCTTCTCTTTCTCCCTCTCTACCTCTCTCCCCCCCCCCTGTCTCTCTCACGCTCTCTCTCGCTCTCTCTCTCTGTTCTCTTTCCACCTGCCCTCTCTCTCCCTGTCTCCCTGTAAATAACACGAGTCATGTTTCTCCTTCAAGTCCGCGAATCCAAGAAACAATATAATTCGGCTGCGCGGGGGGTACACAAAGGTTTGAAAATCCAGCCCACTAATTGGCTGAGCGATGTGGAATTAGAGGGCCCTTGGCCGGGCACGGGTTAGAGCGAGACAGAAGGCGCCATCAGCCAGGCCTTGGTCAGCTGATTCAACAGACCAAAAAAATATAGTCATCGATACGTTAGTATTATTGGAGCGTCTCCAATTATTCCGGGAAACGTGATCGGGACCAGGCAGGCAGCGTTATCAAGGGAAATACAGGAGCTCTTTCCCGAGCGCATTCCTCGCCCCTCTCCCCCCGGCACCTCCCACATCTTCCCTCCCCTTTTTTCTGCTGATAGGCGATCGGCGTCAGCTACTGGAATAACGATGTTGGCTAATTATTCTAGCACATCTCCGCACTCCTCTCCCAGCCCTGCCGGTACCGGGCGCCGTGGGCCGAGTGAAGTGGCCGGCCCCGAGTGAGCAGCAGCACACTGGTAAAACAATAAAAAAACAAAAGCTGGCGATTACTCTGGTAGAGCATGTCATATGGCCGGAGCTATAGCGCATTATTTTTGTTGCACACCCCCGCGTACACCCTTCCAAAAGCACGGCCTTCCCTGAGTGTTCTTTACGAACTCAAACTCGCAGTCCCGAACGAAATAAGCGTGAATTCGCCCGCGCCAGCCGTTCTTCACCCTCTCTCCCCCTCTGTACCCCCCCC